AGTGGTGGTGGCGGCGACGGTGGTGGTGGGTGGTGGTCATGGCGATGGTAGTGGTGGTTGGTGGCAACAGCGACGGTGGTAGTGGTTGTGGCGGCAGCGGTGGTGGTGGTCGGTGGGGCGGCAGCGGTGGTGGTGATGGTGGTTGTGGTGGTGGTGGTGGTGGGGTGGTGGTAGCGGCGGTGGTGGTGGTGGTCAGTGATAGTGGTGGGTTTTCTGATAAGTACAAAGGGTATTTTTGTAATCTGCCACTTTCCTTGATGAGAAGGAATGTTTTCCATCCAACTTTGGAAGGAATTTAGTTTCCTCCATATGGTGGAAAGTTTATTTCATTTAGAAATCCTTTTCCCTCCTCTTAGTGCAACCAAACGCATGAATTCGAGGGAATTGGAATCCTTTTCCCTCGAATTCGATTCATTTCCTGCCAACCAAACGCACCCTAAGTAATTGATTGATAGTTGAAAAGTTTTTATTTTACTATATAAGGTCCATCAGAGTTACATACAAATACAACTCACACAATGAGAAAGAAAATAAAAAAATGGTTTTAGCTATATAATAACATTACTTCCATGCTTTTCTACTCACATTTCATTTTTTCTCTTAAAGTTATTGTTTTATAGAGTGGTATTAGCACCCAAGAATTCCTTGAACTCCATTGGAGATTGTTTTGTCTCTTATAATATTTTTCACTTTGGTTAAAACTTTCTTCCATGATCTCCAATATGATCTTGGTTATGATTCTCACATTGTAATGGTAAATTTTAAAGCGACTAAGATGCTACATTGTTTCTCTTCTCTTTTAATATTTGTTATCTTAATTGCATGAAATTGGAAAAGAATGTGTATGTAGGAAGGTTGCTTCAACCTTACATACTAGAATCAATACCGCTAAAGAGGTAGGTGGTCGTTAACCAATGATAGCAAAATCTAACTACCTTTCTAATTATTTTGATTCATGCTTTGTAAAATCTATTTTTGTATTCTTGGTACAAAGTACATAATGAGGTTCTCAGGTGTACTAATAAAGTCAAATGTAAGTTTTCCAAAATATATATTTGAAAATCAATATCATATTTACTAATCGGTATATTAAAACTCTTGATGAAATTTATGTATAATAGAATATTTTATGTGACTTTATTCTTAATTTCAATGTTTAATATTTGAAAGTTCACATCTAAAAATTTGGATTTTTTTGTGTAATATAAATAGTGTAATACAAAGTCTATTTGGTTAAAATTATTTACCAATAGTTCATTCAAAACAACTTATTTTTTTAATCCAAAAAAGATTACCGAATAATAGAAAGAAAATATTGAATATTATTTTAATTATATTAATGTTATAAAAACTTATAATATTTATTAGATGATATAAAAATAAAAACCTAAAGTTTTAAAAGGGTCCGACTATATTAGATAGTATTAAAATACCAATTAATGATTTTTTTATTGTTTGTTAATTCGGTTAATACCCAAAAAGATGAATAAAATTTTAAATTTCAATATATTTTAAATTTTTACTCATAATTATTTTAACCACTTAACGGCATTCTTGCATAACGTGCAAAGTTTCGCCTAATATT